CTCATCAATCATTTGGTAACTTATTTATATATTAAATAAAATATTTTTTTATTATTTCGAGTCGGGTCGGTTTCTAATTCATATATTCGGTCGGGTCGGGTTTAGGTTTAGGGTGAAAAAAATGGACCGACCCGAAAATATATATAATTCAGGTCGGGTCAGATTAAGTCATTGTTTTTATTAAATAAAAATAATTTTTTATTATTTCGGGTCGGGTCGGGTTGGATTTCTAATTCATATATTTTGGTCGGGTAGGATGAAACTTTATTTTGTACGGGTCGGGGTTTTTAAGTGCGATATTCGGGTCGAGTCGGGTCGTTTTTTTAAATGTGATATTCGGGTCGAGTCGGGTCGGGTTTTTTAATGTGATATTCGGGTCGAGTCGGGTCGGGTTTTTTAAAATGTGATATTCGGGTCGGGTCGGGTCGAGTTCGAGTTTAGGGTGAAAAAACTGGACCAACCCGAAAATATATATAATTCGGGTCGGATTTCTAATTCATATATTCGGGTCGGGTCGGATGAAACTTTATTTTGTTCGGGTCAGGTTTTTTAAGTGTGATATTAGGGTTGGGTTCGGGTTTAGGGTGAAAAAAATCGGACCGACCCGAATATATATATAATTCAAGTCGGGTCGGATTAAGTCACTATTTTTATAAAATAAAAATATTTTTTTATTATTTCGGGTCGGGTCGGGTTGGATTTCTAATTCATATATTCGGGTCGGATCGGATGAAACTTTATTTTGTTCGGGTCGGGTTGGGTTTTTTAAGTGTGATATTCGGGTCGGGTTCGGGTTTAGGGTGGAAAAAATTGGACCGACCTGAAAAAATATATAATTTTACCTTATATATTTAGGAATAATTACAATAATACCCCTCTATATATAATTTTTTTTCAATTAAGTCAATGTTTTTATTGAATAAAAATAATTTTTTTATTATTTTGAGTCGTGTCGGGTCGAGTTTCTAATTCATATATTGAATAAAAATAGTTTTTGGTAACTAATTAACATACTCCGATTGGAATGTATCGAAATATTGCTCTATCTTTTGGTAACTTATTAACATATTTTGATTGCGATGATTTTAACTTATAATGTTTATTAGCATGATTTTTATAATTTATTGAAATGAATAATCAATCAATAAAATGAAAATTTAATATTTTTTAATTTTTTATAATATATTACTACATGTAAGTTGTAAAATAAACTATAATAAAGCAAAAAAACAAGAAGGACAATTCTGTCATTTTATATTACCGAAATCAAATTCATCTGACATGTCTGCGAACTAAACAGAATATGAAATTGGATTCCAATTCCTAAAGATTCCAATTCATTCACAGATTCTAATTCCCCATAAATATTCCAACGAACCAAACGTCACCTTAGGATAAACTATAAAAATTTAACGGGTGTTAATTTAATCGTTAAATATTAAAACATAATATTTTGATCATTTATATTTGTCGATGTTTTGCTCATTTATGTGCTTTTTTCAATAAGACTTGGATGATGTTGGTTTACTGACGTGATATGTTAATAAAAAATATTTTTTTAATTTGATCCCTTCAAGTTTAGGAAAAAATTAATTTGATCATAAATTTTAGAGCATATATCAATTTATCCATTGATCTTTAGAAAAAATATATTAATTTAACTCTTGAATCTGATCAAATTCCTCGTCATCAATTGTCTCTAACCAATAACCACCATCATCAATCACGGCTGACTGTCATCAAGTGTTGTCGATAACGATCAATGTTGGATCATAAAAGTTTCCTTTCATTCCTTTTCAACCTCTTAAGCATGAATATGATGTATATTTTCCTTTTAGAAGCGGTCAATTTTGTTTATTAAGTTAAGATGATTATAAAGTAATATATGTTTTAAAAAGTTTCAATTATTTGACAATGAACATTCAATATCATATTGCATTCACTAGTACTCGAACCCATAACCTTTAGGAAAATAATAATTTATTTAACCACTAAGATAAATTGGTTCGTGCAAAATTGATCGAAATTAAATTCAAGATAAATAAATAATTTGATTCAATCTTACTATTAACCTAAACAATGCCAATTAGCTCATCACACGGAAAGAGGAAAACCTCAATGGCTTTTCCAGGAGGCTTCCGGTTCCTATTTTTTATGCAATTAAATCTGCACATTTAGATCGAATTTTGTCAGATTATGTTCGTCCCCATGCGTTGACAATCGACAAATCTAAGGTTAAAAAATGGTTGGATCATTGATGTTTGAAAGTTTGTCTGCTGGTGCTGATGTTGTTGGAACATCCCATCACATTTTTCCCTTATTATTACCAATAATAATACTCATTCCATCTTCTCCACTCACTTTCTGCGTTGCTTACCCCGCCATTTTCTATCCGCCGACAGCCGTCCCGACACCTTCTTTAACAACAACCCGATTGTCGTTCCATCCCGAACTCGTCATCCTCGTTATCGTTTCTCTCGTCTCGCTTCTTTCGTTGCTGTTGGCAATGGGGTTCTTGTCGAAATTCCTCAAACGCCGTAAACCCACGGCGGTGAGGGGCGGGGCCGATGAAGAGAAGGGAAGGGATTTAGGCGTCGAAGAAGGTAAAGGGTTTGTTAAGAGGTTTAGATGGAACGAGATTAAGGATTCGACTAAGGATTTCTCGCGTTTGATCGGACGAGGAGGGTTCAGCAATGTCTACTTGGCTAATTTGTCGGGTTCCACCCTGGGAGCAGTCAAGATCTATGTCGGAAATGATCGGTTAAACCAATCGTTCAGACAGGAACTGGATATTCTGACCCAAATCCAACATGACAACATCGTTAAATTCCTTGGCTACTGCGATGATCAAGGTAGTTGGTTTAACTCTTCAAAATGGCAAAAAAAAAGTTTTTGATGATTTTTTGTTCAATTTGTTTTACAGAGGAAGGTGCAATGGTGTTAGAATACGTTCCGAATGGAAATTTACAAGAGAAACTCCATGGAAACGGAAGGGAATTGCTTCCATGGAAGACCCGTATGAGCATAGCTTTTCAACTTGCCGAAGCAATCGAGTACTTGCACGACAAATGCAGTCTCCAGATAGCTCATGGCGATATCAAAGCTTCCAACATCTTGTTAGACGAGCGGTTCAACTGCAAGCTCTGCGATTTCGGGTCGGCAAAGATGGGATTTTCATCGAAGGTGGTGCCGCCGAAGACGAAGCAGATAATGGTAGGCTCGCCGGGGTACACCATTATTTGAGGACCGGTATTGCTTCTAAGAAGAACGATGTTTATAGTCTGGGTGTTATTATTTTGGAGCTCGTGACTGGGATGGAACCCTTTTGTCCCGAAAGGGAACAATTGTTGACGACGATGGTGGCACCGAAGTTGAGGGAGGTTGTTGAGGACGGTGGTGGGGCGGCGGAGATGGTGGATCCAAAGCTGGGTGGTGAGTTCGAGTTAGAAGAAGGTAAAGCTATGCTCTTAATCGTTGAACTCTGTCTTCAAAAGTCATCTACCGTTAGGCCTTCCGCCGCAGAAATAATGCAGACAATGAAGAATAAAATCGGTTCCGTCGGTTCACGGTTGTTGCCGCCGGCCAAAGAGCGCCATTGTTGAGTGATTAATGGGGATGGTCGTGTTTGATTCAGTTTGTTGCAATTGTTTGTACATACACAGAAAAAACAGGGAGCTCCATGTACTGTTTGGCTTCGAATTAGTTAGATCGTGTATAAGATTTAGAAAATGCAAATCGAAACATCAAATCTTTAGAACAAGCGATTTGTACTGTAGACTCAACTTGTGAACTGTACATTGAATGTCTGTAAGGATCGCATTGAGATTTAGTACAACACGTTAGTGACTTAATTGACAATTTTTTTTTGTTTGATAGTAAAAATAAGAATTGATTTTATAGTTCAGTGACTAAATATAGAGTTTATTCTTCTTTTTACCGGTACATCGTTTAATAGGGACTAGATTTGCCAGTTTCTACAATGGAAGGAGAAAATTGATATATTAGAGGGACTAAATGTAGTCCTTACAAACAGACGGACCTGCAACAAGTTTTGTCGGGAAAAAACATTCTCTGCCCTTTTTTTTTGTGTTCCGGTAAAGTATACAAATGGTTTTTTATTATGAGATACTTGTTTATTATATATCTCGACTATTAAAAATTATAAAATGGTTCTTTGATTATAGAATGATGTTTTGTTGAGTCATTCAACTACTAAAGTTACAAAATAGTCACCCGACTGTTCATAATGTTTTAAACTCATCATTTTTCGTTAAAATAGTTACGACATTCCGAGTTGAACGTTAACATATTAGTTATGATATTATAAAATATGATTTTAAAATCTCAAACAATTATTATATTTAAGTCATCATGTTAACATTCAACTTGGACGACCTTCAACTTTTTGACAAAAAATGATGAGTTTGGAACATAATGAATAGTCAGATGACCATTTTATAACTTTTAATAGTTAAAAAACTAAACAAAACAACATTCTTATTCAAATGATCATTTTGTAATATTTAATAGTCAAGAAACTTATAAAGTAGTATCATATAGTCGTGGATTATTTGTCTACTTCACACTTTGTATTTTTAGAAAGAGAACAACAAGTTTACACGTGGAGTAATAAAATTAAACTTGTTTTATTTCTACAGATTAAAACAACATTTTTTTCAAAATGGTAGGATATATTATTGGTTAATGAATTTGTTTAACGGCAAAGATTTGATCCCTTACCCTTTATATATATAGTTTTTTTTTCCATTCACGTCCCTGTGAATCGTCAAAATGTATAAATTCGTTGCTTTCGAGGCAAGGATTTAAACCTCGAGAAAAAGAAAGCATTTTCATGGAATTTCCTCTATTCTGAGAAAACGAAGGAAAGCAGCATTGAACGCGAGCTTTTCCTTTTTTTTTTACACAATTTTGCTTAAAAAAAAAGGAAAGCTCGCTTTCATTTTCCCGGAAAATTTTGAAAAGGATTTCAAATCAAAACGATGGTGACGTTGTTATCGTTCCAATTCCACGAATCCGCATTGTCGCTGTTGTTGTCATTGCTGCTGCTCGTCGTTACTTTCCCTTCTTCTTCTTATTCTTCTTCTCCTTTTGCCGTCGGATCGCAACGGAATTTCACGGCGGGCATCTTGTTGCCGTCCGATGCGGCGGATGCGTGCGGTGTTTCCCCGCCCTCGCAGCGTTATTCGTGCCCGGTTAACTGCTTCAGGACGGATCCGGTTTGCGGGGACGACGGAGTTACGTACTGGTGCGGTTGTGCAGACGCGCATTGCTCGGGGGCCAAGGTGGCGAAGATTGGATTCTGTAACGTTGGAAATAACGGCGGGACCGGATCTTTCTCTGGTCAGGCTCTACTTTTGTTGCATATAGTTTGGCTCATTGTTCTAGGCATCTCTGTTTTCTTTGGCCTAATCTGAATTTTCTCTCTGTATTTAAAAAAAACAAATTCTAAACAATTTTCCATTTTAAATCCTTCATCTTCTATAGTCGCCATTGATAGTTATAATATAACTTAATAATACGTAGAATAAAGTACATTACATGCCGTTGACCCCATCCCATTTCCTAACCCTATCTTACGAGGTAGATGGCGGTTTGGATACCGTCTCAATGATAAAAGAATTATTTTTATTTCTTTAGGTCTCGGGTTCGAATGACAGAATAATTTTTGTTATGTATCGTAATTACTCAAATTTAATAAAAAAATAATTTAAACTATCTGTTTTGATTTGTTTTAGTATATAAATTTTTAATTTTCTCAAAATTATACCTAAAGTTTAGTTTTTATTTTATTTTAGTACCTCCCATTAAAAATTTAATGTATTTAGTATCTAAATTATAAATTTTGATCCGTTTTAGTACCTAATTTTTTAATTTTTTTTCCAGAAATTAACATTAAATTTTAAACAATGATACTAAATAAAATAAAAACTAAATTTTATGTATGATTTTAAAAAACAATTAAAAGTTTAAATATTATAACAAATTAAAATTATTAGTTTAGATACTAGATAAGTAATTTACCTAAAAAAAAATAATGGTTTCGCTTCATATGGTGAGGCACAGACAATCCAACATGGGAGGCGCGGTAGGGCCCGCTATTACATTTGTGTTTTGTAAAATTTGTAGGAGTAATTATTTATCGAATGTTTTGCTTGTAGATTAAGGAATGAAGCAGTCCATTACATTAGGTTCCTTCGAGACTTGAACTTTGTCCCTGTTGGTGATAGAGACCACATCTCTGTTGACCAAAGCGCATAATGATAACTGGGAGTTGGCTGCTCAAGTGATTGAGATACTCTGAATTAATTAAGTGATATAATGCATATATTTATTTTTAGCCGTATATTAAGAAAGATTTTTGAGTACGAACATATATATATATATATATATATAATTTAAATTTTGTGTACGAAGTTAGCATAAATAAAATTCATATTATACCCTCATAATAAAAAAGGAACAATAAGTATAAAAAAACTTAAATTTTAAAGTGTACATGTGCCCACCCAACTATGTTGTGCAGCCGCCACTGATGTGCACAATGCTCCATTTGGTTTCGAATTATCGCCACTGATATGCTCAATGCTCCATTTGGTTTCGAATTATCTATCCTTAATTTATGTCCAAAATTACGCTCTTGGACACTAACAATTTAACCTATTTATTGTCTACCCTTATTTTTGCTCAATAATATAATACATACGGCAAAGACAAGTAATTCTCGTGGTAAATAAATTGTTGTTATTTTTTGAGAATTCGAGTTCGAGTATCATAGATATCAATGATGTAAATGTAATCTTGTATTTATCCAAAATTAATAAGAAAAACAAAGATAAACTATACAAATAGTCTCTTATATTTTCGGTGTGACCAACTTTGGTTATCATTTCAAAAATTAAGGGAAAATAATCCCTAACGTTCAATCATGTTAGAGACTTTAATAAAAGGGATTAACAAATATTAATGAAAGATGAATTAAAATTAAACGGATAGATAATATTAAATATATTTTCTCCATAATTATTAAATTAATGAGTAAAATAGGTCATACCTAAACATAAAGTTGTCTTAACAATGATATTATTGCATGAATTATTTAATTATTTTTCTCCATTTTTCATAGAGTAATGGGCTTAATGGTAAAAGCATAAATTAGCTGACAACTTCCACCGCGGAAAATGATCAAACGCGGGCATTAACAGAAATTGAAAAGAAATAGTAACAAAAAAAAATCAAGTACTAATAATTTTCTATATATCCATCGAAAGGCAAAAGTAAAGCAAGCTATGGGCAATGGAACCTCTTCAGCAAACCCTTAATCAAAATCTTTCATATCCGATTCCTAATTCCCTCTGAATCTTCTCTCACTTTCACTTTTCCAACAACTTTTGGAGTTACCGAAAGATCCCTTTTCTTTGGGTTTAATAAAAGCTTATCATGGCTGTTATTTCACTAAATTCACTGCCCATCGGAATCCGATTCCGACCAACTGACGAGGAGTTGATCGATTGTTACTTGCGGTCCAAGATAAACGGAGAAAGGGACGATGAGGTCAAAGTGATTCGCGAAATCGATGTCTGTAAATGCGAGCCATGGGATTTGCCTGATTTGTCTGTTATAAAGAGTCGGGACCCGGAGTGGTTCTTCTTTTGCCCGATCGACCGGAAATATCCGAACGGAAATAGACTCAACCGGGCTACCGGTGCTGGTTACTGGAAGGCTACGGGTAAGGATCGGAAGATAAAGTCCGGGTCTAGCTTGATCGGCATGAAGAAAACTCTGGTGTTTTACACCGGCCGGGCTCCCAAGGGAAAGCGCACCAATTGGGTTATGCACGAGTATCGTACTACCCTCGATGAGCTCGACGGCACGAAGCCCGGACAGGTCTTTTTCATTTGACTTAAATATTGAGTTTTCAGCTTGATTCCAGTTCAGGGTTCGATCCTTGGTTAGTTTTGCTCATATTGTTTGATTTTTCGGTGTCTTGTTCTGTAGAATCCTTTTGTAATTTGTCGTCTATTCAAAAAACAAGACGAGACCATCGAAGATACTAGTGGCAACTTCGTTGATCCCGGCACATCGTCCCACACCGAGGACGTGCAATCGGAGTTTGATATGCCTCGAGACAAGCCTGTGATGGAAGTGAAAGCCGAAAAAGTTCCCGATAGCAGTGAAACTTGTCTTGAAGGTTTAGATAACAAAATGATGTACCATTTAGGAGGTCAACTGGTAGAAATGGCACCTGCAGAGGTGAGAAAATGAAACTCGATTTGGATTTAGGTTTAGATTTCGATTTCGATGCGCTTTCCAAGTTTGCTGTCATTGCTTTTGCGCTTATGTTGTTTGATTTTCAGGTGGATGTACTTGGAGAAGCTTTGAATCATTTTTATGATCCGATGATGGAGCCACTGGATTGGAAACTCTTTTCTCCGTTGCATTCGCAGATCGAAGCAGAGGGGGCTCCTTGGATGTTAGATCATGTAGGGAACGATTTCAGTGGGGTGGAGTTCGAGTATGGCTCAAATGAGAATGATGCCTATAGTTCCCACTTCATGCATTCTACACCAAAAATTTCAGATGACTACTACAGCGGCGATTGGGGCTGTCAAAAGAATTCAATTATCGAAAGAGTGATTCCCAACCCCCTGGCTTTTGGTATGGATGGTGGATCATATTGCAAATCCGATCCTGATGTGGTTCGAGTAATGGTGAGTAGTAGAACCAAGCTCGTTACATTTTGTTTATCCGATATTCGTACTGCTTATGCTTTTGCCATATCATAGTGCGTCTAGATTCATTGAAATGTCTCATAGTATTTTTGTTCTATAATCTTACAGCACGGGACTAGCAATGATGACAGAGGAGTTCCTCTAGAGGTTAAAGCAACGGCACATGATATTGAACTCTCTTGTGATGGGGCATTCTATAATGTGCTAAATAGCAATGGCGAATCGAGCAATCATGTGAACGCAACATGTAATATTGATACTGCACCTATAGCTGGAATCAAGATTCGATCCCGCACTCGTCGAAGTCAACCAAACATCGAGAACTCCGTTACACAGGGGACTGCATCAAGAAGATTTAAACTTCAAATCCATCCTCGCTCCGAAGAGAAGGAAGATGATCCGAAACCCATTGTCACAAAGGTGAGAAATCTGTAAATAATGATAGCGTTAAGCCATTGCTGAATCCAGATATGTATATGAACATTAATAGGGTCGTCTTCTAACAGGACGTAAAAGATGTTGTCGACAATGCTCCTCGTGGGACCGTCATGGTGGATGAACCCGAGGAAATATCCATTTCCGAGTCGAGCAGAAACAATGTCTCAAGGTTAAAGAGCAAGATCCCAGTTCATGAAAAGGTTCCGTATCGATGGTTAAAGAGGTTTTCAGCTCGGCCGCGGCAGAAGTCATTTAGCATTATTATGTTTCTTGTTTTTGCTGTGATGCTAGTCTTGTTTATAGCTTTTGTTAGCACATTGAATGTGTTGTAATTTGATACCATCTTTATATTAAATTCTAGTTATTAAACTATTGATCATTCCAACCGTTTAGAGTGTGCAATCGATCGATTATGGATTCCATCGAAAGTTTATTGAAGTAATAGACGAGTGAACAATGAGTTTGAATGAAAAGACTCGTGTTCACTCGTCTATATCTCAATCGAGATTACCTGTCAAAAAGTGTTATATAAGATCCGGACACATATATCAGTAAGCAACCCTAAAACAGAGACATCTTTGATCGCCCAATTCAACAATGGAATCCGCTTCATTCAAAATAACTTGAAAACTATTCTATACATCCTTATCTGATCCAGAAAAAGAGGACACATGTTAGCAAAATCCGGTAGAAACCGAACTCTGAGGATTAGTTTGGGATTCGATTTTTCGACATGGAATGGAAGGTACGAAGCCGACCCTATCGAGTCCTCACACGGCGTTGAGATCTCCGGTTCTTGATGTGCTCCGAGGCATGGCAGTGTGTGGTCCAATACTCGCAAGGAGCTGCAGAATCGCAAACATAAGAGTAACACTGCATCAAACCGAAACAAAAATCATTAGAATTGCCTCAAAATCCCAATGATCCAAACAATAAACAAAGCTAATCCGCCATTAAAGTAAAAAGATTATAGCTTGGCATACCAGGTCACAATGTGAGTCATGAGGTGTAGTATCGAATGGAAATTGCAGACAAAGATGCCTTGGGTGTGGATAATCTCTACAGGCCACCTAAAAGAAAATTAAATTAAGAAAAACTATTAAGGTCATTAGACAAGAAACAATACCCATGGATCTATATTAAACTAAATTTGAAGTTTTTGCTCCATTCCAATCAAGTTCAGAAAGTGTAAATTTCGTCAGCAAATATATTAGGGAGAAAATTGAACCTGGCCACGCTTGGCGAACACGGAGAGTTCATCGTCAACATCGCAATCGTTGGCGGCGGAGAGCTTGGCAATGTCAATGGGATCGAAAGGGTTAAAATTAAGGATAAAGCAATCCTCAGTCTCCTCAAACGCTCCATGTCGACCATCTTTTTCAAACAGAAAATGGATCTCAAAGGACTCTCATCCACTGGATTGTACTTGTTCTTCTTCTCCTTCCTATCTTTCTCCGCCGATGAAAGAACTGCCTCTACCTTCTCCGCCATCGGGGTTTTGCTTTTGCTTGACTTTCGACGCTTTGCCATTGAATCCTCGTGTTGCTTCACTGCCCGTGCCCGATTAAAAACCTTTGATTTCCTTGAAAATTGAATTTGAAAGACAACCGTTGGCTTGGCTTTCCCCCAAAATATAAAATAACCTAGGAATCTAATTCTGTCTCCAATCCCTCTACTATTCAATATTTTGAACTTAGTCCTATATTTTCTAGTTCTAGAAATTTAATCCTATGTTTTCTGGAAATGGGTTAGTTCTGATTCGTTCCCATCTTGCGTGAAATGATGAATTCTGGCTGTCCACAATTTGCAGAACTGGTAAATCTCTTGTCAGAGTAATGATTTATGGGACTATAATATCAACAATCTGAACTTTGTAGGACTCATATTTCATCTGAATTCCGAGCGATGGACAAGCTAATCTTCCGAGTTGCATTGCACTTTGAATTCTCTCTTCCCCCATTGAGCTTTTGGTGTCCTTAAAAAAGTTTGATTACTTTAGAAAATAGTCCCTCCCATCTTTTTAAAGTGTTTTTCTGATAGTGAATGTATTTTGTCTGTATTGCACATTCTTTTTACTGTACAAATCAATTATTAGTTACGAAATCATTGCATCAAAACAACAAATATATCAAAATCTGTAAAAAATTGTTGTTATTTGTTGATATTTTATGTTTAAATATTAGGAATAATAAGATAAAAAAGGTCACTTTTGACCCTGTACATTAATAATGCACTAACCCTCACCCTCTTGATATTGAACGTTCACAACTTAATATCTATGGTGTTCTAACACATATCTTCAAGGAATCGATTTAGATTTAAATATAATGAAGATTTATATAATTATCAAACACAAGAGAGGATTATATACCATGATCATTATATGTCAATATCGACAACAAGAGACTTAAAGTTATAGAATCTTAAATTTGAAAACTACAGAACATTATCAAGCAGATAGAAAGTTCAGCATATTATCTCACACATCGGTGGAACATCGAGTCCCTCTACTTGAACCGATAAACGGACTCGACGGTGCAGCACTAGGTCCAAACGCCAGAACCGACACACAGTTAACGTTAAACCGATACCGGCCGGAGACCCAAGTCCCGACTTTCCACCGGAGTTTCCCGATGACTTTGAAGCTCAAAACCATCCTCCCCGCACTCCGATCTCGTCCCACTTCGTAACCGAAACCCGGAGCCACGGGGAAACCATTTCCCTGCAAAACCGCAGTCAAAAAGTTGCTCTCTTCGTGTTCTTGGTAAAACGGAGGAATGGGAGTATCCACGGTTATCTGCTGGGCTTCATACGAAGCGTGAGCTTGCAAGTTGTCGTAGTAAACGCCGACTCTCTTGTTGGGGTTGTTGGAGAGGAAGGTGAGTTGAATGGACGAGTTGAGGAGCGAAGGGCGAGTGAGGTTGAGTTGGTAGATGTCGGCTTGCGTGAGGGAGAAGCGGGGTTTGGAAGGGTGGAGGGTTAGCCGGATGAGGAAGATGAAGACTAAAACGATGGTGAAAACTGAAGAGAGAACGAAGAGTAGTTTCTTGCTGATGGTAAAACTTTGTCTTTCGGCGCAGTGTTTTGGTGATTTTGAGAAAACCTGAGACATTTGCAAGAAGGTGAAGAGAGATTAGGAAGGAGAGTTTTCTTATGAGGCCGAGAATGGTGGCCGATGGCTTAATAAAGGAGAAATCAGAAGTATTTTTTTATTGTCTAATTTGGATGTTAGCCCTTGTACTTTATTAATAATTCAATCTTGTTATTTAAGTTATCATAATTTGATCACATACTTTACCTAAATTGAAATTCCTTTTTGAAGTTACAACTATATAGATAATAAAATGTATTAGAGATTATCAAATTGTGTAAAAATTATATTTTTAAAGGGTAAAATACACAAATGGTCCCTTGACTATATGATATTATTTTATTAAATCTGTCAACTATTAAAAGTTACAAAAAGGACACCCAACTATTCATTATGTTCTAAATTCATCATTTTTTGTTAAAAAATTGATGATATTCTGAGTTGAACGTTAACCTACTGATTGTGATATAATAAATCTGATCTTATAATCTCAAACGAGTATCATATCTCAGCCATCATATTAACGTTCAACTTAGACATCTGTCAAATTTTAATGGAAAGGACGAGCTTGGAATATAATGAATAGTCAGATGATCATTTTATAACTTTTAATAGTTGATGAACTTAAAAGTAATATCCTATAATTGAGGGACCATTTATGTATTTTACCCTATTTTTAGTTAACCAACTCGATGTGTTTAAAGCTTAATTAAAATCACAAATCATGGGTCCCAAGAGCCTCCATTAGGAAACACAACCCCACCATATTAAATCATGAATATGCATGTCATGATACAATTGCAAAGAACCATGCAACAGGTTTAAGATATTATACTTTTTTTATTCTTGAACAATCTATTCCATTTCTAATTTTATATTTCAAATTAATCAATTAATTTAAGGGTAGAGTACACAAATGGTCCATCGACTATAGAATGTTGCTTTATTAAGTTTATCGACTATTAAAAATTATAAAATAGTCATCTGACTATGGAGTATTGCTTTGTTGAGTCCATTGACTATTAAAAGTTACAAAATGGTCACCCAACTATTCATTATATTCCAAATCTATCCTACTCTCCCAAAAAATTAATTGTATTCTGAGCTGAACGTTAACCTGCTGACGGTAATATGATATAATATGATCATAGAATCTCAAACTACTATCATATTTCAGTCATTCTGTTAACATCCAATTTAAACGATCGCCAAATTTTTAATTGAAAATAACGAATTTAAAACATAATGAATAGTCATATGATCAATATTTTTTAATAATCAAAAGATTTAATAAAAGAATACTTTATAATCGAGACTCAGGAGATCATTTATATACTTTAGTTTAATTTAATTCAATTTTAACGATGATACTTCCAAAATGATCTAACGAATCGGATCATATCAGATCCTCGGAGAAGGCAAAGCCCGTCCAATGATCCATGGAAACATGAAGAATCTGGAAACTGACTTTTGCAATGATTTTGTGGGTGTCTTTATGTAGCCGCTAAGAAATATTGCATAAACAATTCATTAAAACATTCACCCTCTCAATCCTATGGGTTTAGGGTATTCGGATTAACTCAGACACATTTAGTTTGGATTAACTCAGACACATTTAATTTGGATTAACTCAGACGTAAATCAACCCATTGATTATTATTTTTAATTGTGATAGGTCAAAATTTCTAATTACTAGATATTATATTCTAAAATTAAATACAAGATAGAAAAGAAGATATCATCTCTAATATATATGATGATATTATATTGAGAATATAATAATTAATTATTAAAACTTTTATTTGATTGTACAATTAAAAAATCTCTCATTAAAACTTATGAATTAATCAAGTCTGGGTAGGCTGCTTGGACGTTTGAAATTAGAGAAAAAGAAAAGGGTTTTTGTTTTCTGCTTTAAAAAGATCAACCTTTTCCAGTTCTTGTTGATCCCTTCAATTTAATCAAACAGAAAGCTGGCTGACCCCATAACTATTGACTCCCAAGTAATCATTTTGATTCTTTCCAACTTTTCCCCTAACCTCGCTGTCTTAGATTCTTTTTTGGTAACAATATGTTATCTACTATCAATTTGTTTAGAAAAACGGGGGTTAAATTTACAAATACCATCTTGAAAACCAAATACTATATTATTAAATTATAGTTTTTTTACCAACAATCCATTGATCTAAATTAGTCTAGTAGGATAACACACTAGATTCCTTAAACAAAATCAAGAGTTTAAACCTTGACATTTGTAAATGGAACAAATTGGTTGAGTATATCGTCCTTGCCTATGTTGTACCTAATTTGGATTAATCGATCAATATATAGAATACCCGCGATTAATTCAAAAATTATAATTTTTTTCTAATATTTTGCATGTAATAAGTAATAAATGTAATAACCAGATTGAAAAAGAAAACCCACCCATCCCAACATGCATAATTTGATAACCAAGAGAAAGCAACAAAGGATATGTCAAAGAGTGTCGCAGATCAAGCTAACTTGTCCACTAGTGTTCAGAGATAGAATCAAAATGAAACAAAAGGCAACCTAATTCATCCATTAGCGTTCAGAGATAGTTGCTTCGCCTCCAAGAAACACCGCCACACTTGGCTAAACTTGCCTACATGGACTGTATCCAGTTATAATGTGCCAATACGTTCAACAAAACTTACCCCAGAACTCCATTAAGCTGCAAGTTATACCGGACTTACGTTTTTCATGCGGTATGAATATCAATGGCTCACCGATTGGGCCTGAAAGTATAATCAGCCACATGTATAGGATTCACTTCAAACTTGCCATTTTAGAGGAAAAAAAGTTGTGTTTCAATTTCATGATTCTTATAAATGGAATGCGGGATTCAAATATGTGAAGGGTCGTTACTCGCATTGAACATCGGAAACCGGAATTAGCCTACCTTGTCAGGTGATACTGATCTTGAGCTTGACTTTGACCTTGATCTTTCTCTGAATGAATAGAAGTGAAGAAGTTCCATAAATCATATGGAAAACAACAAAACTGAATAGCAAAGCAAAGAAACTGAGAGCAAGTTGACACCCAGTTACCTGGGTGACTTGACAGGAGAGGCAGATCTGGATTTAGCAGGTGATTTGGACGGAGATCTTTCCCGTGATTTACTGCTTACAGGAAAGAAAATGGTTGGAGTTTGGAGTGCATCTGAAGGAGAAAGATTAAGGACTGAGAGTGGTTTATACCTCCGGTCTCTTCTAACACTGCGGCTTCTACTTCTACTCCTACTCCTACTCCTACTCCTGGAGGGGCTGCTCTCGTATTTCTTCACCTGTCCATAAAAATGAATAAATACCAAATGATTAAAAATGGAGATCAATTTTGAAAATTCTAGATTCTACAAAAAACAAAAGGAATATATATATATATCGATGCATGATGCTCCATGTATCCATAAATAAGAGTAGGGTCACAGTGCAAGAAACCCTTTGCAATTTTAACCACTGAAAATTCTCTGAAAGTGTGAGAAGAGAATGATAGAAGGAAGACCAGACCATATCGATTCACGTGTTTACTTGGCTAAAGGTTAGTTGCAGGCTTTTGCGTTTACTTGGCTAAAGGTTAGTCACAGACGTGTGCGTTTACTTGGCTAAAGGTTAGTAGCGGATGTGTTAACACATGCATAGTAGAAACTACAATTTTGCATACTAAAACAAATCAATGGCTCCATGTATCCCGCATCAATAATGGAATAGACATTGTTCATAAAATTTTACGCATTTATTATTTCAGCCTATTACAAAGGGGAATGAGGATATAGCAAAACCATTCAATGATACGGAAAATAGTAAGGATAGAAGAATGCATAGCAAGGTTACCCGAATGTAAGCTCTAGCCCAAGGATTTCTAAACTCGGTATCATCAAGTTTACGAATCTGCATGATGTTGAAAACATGTCACTTGAATTACAATTTACAAGCATTGAAGTAGCATAAATTCATGGCAAGGAGGTATGAAATTTTCTTTCTAAAAAACTTACAGCATATTTCATGTCATCATAATTGGTAAAATCAACAATACCGAAAGTACCTGAACAAGAGAGAGATAATAATAAGTATAAACTCATTCAAAACATGAAGGCCTAAAAACCAAGCCAATCCAGTTGAAAAATCAAAAGATGAGACGATAACTATTTCAAATTCCAATCGATTTCAACAGAAAGGAAAAGCTCATAAAACAATCAGAATTAGAAGTTAAGTACAAGCATATTAAAGAGAAGTAGCAGAAACAACGGATCTTATAATTACAAACATAACCAGCTTGAACATCCAAAACATAAATTTAAGTATGTCCCAAATAAGATGATAAGAATATCAAATTGCAAAATTCAATATCTAACAGAGTTGGAACAAGTACAATTCAAGATGTCAGCATCAAATAAGGGGAAAAAAAAGAGAAACAGAGAGGGCATCAAGGGGGATAAGGTAAGCAATGAAACTGTATAAGCTTATCAATACATCTCCTTAAATCATACCATCACTGTCACGTGAAATTTCTGCAAAACACACATCACCAGCTTTTCGCATGTGATCCTGAAAAGAGGATATGGATAGGTAAGAGTTGCAGCTTAATTAAAAATCCCTACACTTGTTTCAAGTTATACAAGTTCTCTAAACCTTCAAATCTTGCCAGGAAGCAGAAGAAGGGAGCCCGCGGACAATAACTGCAGGGAAACAAATGTATACATTAGAACCATTTGTTACTGCAAATAGAAACTAAATAAGAAATACCAGAAATGACACAGTTTAACAGTTAGGCAGACCTCGAAATTCAGAGTGACGTGATACACCAAACTTAGCTGCACCACCACCATATCCACCACGACGATCACTTGAGGATTGTCCTCTACCACCATGTGCAAGCTCAACCTATATCAATCATAATCAAATGCCAATTAAGGAGGGAAACAGAAATGGAATACACACGAAAATAACATGTGCCATTCATTACCCTCAAACGACAACCATCAAAGTTATAACCATCTCGACCTCTGATTGCATCTTCAGCATCTCGGGGATCCTCAAACTACAACACACACGATTTAATAAGAAATTTTCCCTTTTTCATTTTGCATCCTAAATAAAACATGTGTTGAGAAATGTACCTCAACAAAACAAAAACATGGAGGGCGATGCGGAATCTTCAACTCAATATCCAAAATACGACCATACTGCAGAAGGAAAACATACATTAGAAAACTGAAACAGAAATCAACCAAAAGCAAAGAGATCCTTCAAACACATTAATGATGTGATTCATATAAAGTCCAGATTACATGCATCAAAATCAAGCACAACTACAAGATACATACATTACTTATGTGATGAAAACCAGCTGAGGAAATGTTTATATTTATTCTTTCATAGAAGAAAAATACATTTGCATAATATCAAATTCAGCAGCACCTTGTAGAAAAGATCTTCAACCTCCCATTCTCTTATATCAGAGGGTAGGTTGCCAACATAGATTGTGCGAGAGAAGCGACCGCTCATTTCCACTACCAGAAAACAGATAATATAATTATTTCACAGCATGCACAAATAATAGAATCAAATTAACAGAGAAACCAAGTTCCATTCCCTACTTACGAAATAATGCAACAAATATCCTCCCAGATATCTAATTATCATCAGCATTCACTCTGATGATAATGATAAAAAAAATTTATTGCATAAAAGAACTACGAAGCAAACCAAGTCAGCAATTCCTCCAAATTGTGAGCAGTGTCCCACAAGCTCCATTTTGCTCCAACATTGGAAAGTTAAATTGGTGTCGCCATCCTCCCATGATGAGAAAAATAAAATAAAACTTATTGCAAAGCCAAAAAACATGAAGCAAACCAAGTCAAAATTCGTCCAAATTGTCATCCACAAGCTCCACTGCTCATTTGCTCCAAAATTCGAAACTTTAACTTAGTCTCCTCATCCTCCCATTAACATTTTTCCAGAGCTTCAGAAGGGAGAAACAATGTCCAATCATTAAAAAACAAAAAACATACAAATTTCCCAGTCCTTTTCTCTACCCCCTATGTAACATTCCAAAGTTCTTGTCTGTCCAAGCACTTGTCATCTATCATAAACAAACCATGATTGTCACCAGATCAGATTAGATTCTTAGACACGTTATTGATTATTTCATTTTCCCTCGCTCATCTCTCTTATTAAGCCACAATGAAAAATAATAACAAACCCTAACAAATACATTAAAAATTCCCATATTTCTTCCCTTCTTTAATCTAATCTCCAATAACCCGCGATTACTTTTAAGAGAATATGAAGATCGGAAAACAAAAGGAACCTACAATTTAAAACAATATATATCAATTATACATGAAAGCAATGAAAAGGTAACGACAATGTACCGAAGAACAGAGAGCTAGGGAAAAGCGAAATGGAGTCGATGAGAATCAATCAGAGCGTGTTGGCCGTAAGCAGAGGAAAACTGGAGCTTGACGAAGCCTCGTGGTCGAGCCTTCTTGCTCAAATCTAACTTAGCTTAACCTCAACTAGCTAGTAGCTAGGGTTCGCTTATCTTCGTCTTCGCTCAAATCTGAATTCAAAAATCCGCGAACCTTCTGTTGGGTTTACCTGAAGACCATTCAACTTGATTTTAAGTTGGGCAGCCTTGATCCGGATAGGGCCCAACATCGCCCGAATTTATTATTAGGGTAAATTATGCGTTCAACATCTAAAGCATTAGTTTTTATCCGTTTTAGTATCTAAACTTTTATTTTTTTCATTATACATAACTTTTAGTTTTTGTTTCATTTTAGAACCTCATTAAAACATAACATTAAGTTTTGAAAAAGATTAAAATTTTAGGTACTAAAATGGATCAAAATCAATAGTTTAGGTACTAAACGCGTTAAGTTTTTAACGGCATGATACTAAAATGAAACAAAAACTAAACGTTACGTTAGGTATGATTTAAAAAAATTGAAAGTTTAGATACTAAAAAGGATCAAAATTAATACTTTAGGTATTAAATGTGTAATTTAATACTATTACAAATCATGCGTTATTGAAAAGTTTCAAATCTATTTAAAATATTAAGTTCCACTCAAAAAAATATTAAGTACATACAAATCTATTTATCACTTAATGAAAAATACTTTTAAATTAAAAATAAATTAATATATTTGAAGACAAAATAAGGTCAAAATTTAATTCTACTATATTCAAAATTACCATAACTTATTAACTGGATTTGTTCAAGTAATAAGCGGTTTGATATCAAATAAGATTTTAAGTTCGAGTCATTATATATATATATAAAATATTTACCATAAACTTACTTACTAAAGTTATGTGCACGATTCAGAATGATCCACATTAATAAGAGTTAAGCCTTAGAAGTGAGGGGGGATATCAGAATTTAATTCTACCATTTTCATATTGTACTTGATAAAATCTTTTGATTTATGAAGATTAGTTAACGAACAATCTAGAAGTCCCATACGACGCCGTTTGAGACCACACCGAAAGTACACGTGGGATATGAACAGAAAATTAAAAGAAAAGGACACGTGGGCTATGAACAAGAAATTAAAAAGAAAAGGACACGTGGGACACCCATTTGATTTACCCTTTTTTTTTGTCATTTTTTGAGAGTGTGCCCAAAGCGATATGATTGGTTTGGTCATATCCTTTTCTTTGTTGATTTTAATTTTAGTCTTCAGGCTTAACTTTCTCATGTAATAGATTTAATTTACCGTTTTTATTTTTATTATATATTTATATTAATTTAATCCTTAAAATTATTTAATTATATTATTTTATATTCTATTCTTAACTTAAAACTCTAAATTATAAACTCTAAATTAGAGTTTATAATTTATATGTTATGGAGTTAGGTTTAGGGTTTAGGATTTTAAGTTAAGAGTAAAATATAAAATAATGCAATTGAATAACTTCGATGGTTAAATTAATACGAGAGTATAATAGGGATAAAAGTGATAAATTGAGTCTACTACAAATACAACCTTTTATCAATTTTATAATATAAATATAGTACAATTTATGTAAAAATTAGAAAGTGTTAATGTGAAGTAAGGGATAGTGATTATAAATAATTGTAACCAATTCCATATTCAATAGAAAGAAAATAAAAGATTCTAAAACAGTCATTAAATTGTCTATTCTTTTTAGTTTCACATTATAATATTCGATCCGAATTTTATAATTATAAAAATATAATTTTTTTCAGTAAAAAATTATAAAAATACATATTAATTTTAATTAATTTCATCAAATAGTGTTGATACATTAAAAAATAATCTAATAATAAAAAACATTTTATACGATAAATAAAACCATTGGATGTGATAAAAAAGAGAGGATAAGCAACAATATTTTTTACTCTAACAATGAAATATCTTTTAGAATTAATTTTAAGTTGACGACTCAAATTTGATATATATATATATATATATATATTATATTTTTCACTCTAACAATGAAATATCTTTTAAAGTTATAAAAATATTATAAAATTTTATTTTAAATTTATGAAAAATGCCCTTACAATATTTTTCTCCCCAAATTTTAAACATAACTTTTCAGCCTTTTATTTTTGTATGTTTGAATATTATCATTCAAAATTCAACGATAAAGAAGTGAAAAAAAAGGAAAAATAAATAATATATCTTGATTTTTTATGGTAAAATAATAAAGATTATAAAACTTAATTAACTTTTCTGAGTTTTAGATTATACTTTTATAAGTTTTAGAAAAGGAGAAAATTCAGATCGATAGAATGATAAGTGGTGATGACGTATAGAATAAGAAAAGAAAATATTAAAAGAATAATGCCGAGATCTCGATAATATATGATGGAGATGAAAATTTTAAAAATTTAAAATTATTTAAAAATTATAAAATAAAATAAAATATATAGTATGTTAGAGAGAAAGATCATGTCACCTTGTTATTTTTTTTTATTTCATATCAAAATATAACAACAATAATAAGATAATTTTAGAAGTTAAATAAATAAATTAGTTTTTAAATATCAAAATAGGAATGTAACCGGAGTTGAACGATGAAACACATCATTTATTCATAATTAAATAAGATATAATACTAAAATTACCCTTTAATATTTGTATAAATGATCCATTTGTCCTCTATCTTTTTTTCAAAACATTTTAAGTTTTTAACCTAACATTTCATCTTAAGGTAAATTGTCACGTACTAGATGAAAATTATTAGTTGACTAATTGTTAATGTTTCGTACAAACGTAATAAGTGCATATGTAATATCACTTTAGTAAAAAAATATTTTCAGATTAAATTATAATGTGACATTTCTCTTGGACTTGATATATCAATAGAAAATGTTGACTATTATTCAATTAAAGACTTTAATCCACTAAAGATATTTTGTTCGAAAATAATATATTAAAAAATTAAAATATTTAAAAAAAATAAAAGATAAAGTGAGTACTTCTATAAATATTGGAATGTAATTTGATTATTATGTGATTAAATAATTAAAAGGTTTCAATAAATAAATTACATTATTCCGCACATTTGCATCCACCCAATGCCTCTCCTCAATTTTTACTCCCATTAAAAACACACACCCAAGCCCTCTCTGTCAATTTACTGAATCATCTCAATAAAACCAAAGAAAAGCTTCTTCTCTGTGTTCGTCGTTTTCTCCCTCGATTTGCAGACCCTTTCTTTTTGCTAATTCTCATCACATAAAGTGACGATCTTTGAGGTGGGTTTTGGCTTTTACATCAATGGAGACATTTAGATAAGTCAGGTACGTTGTTCTTCCCACAACTTCAACTACAAAAACAACTTTATCTCGTTTTTGTTTTTTTTAATCTCTGGGTATTTGTTTTTCGGATCATTTTACGAGGCAGATGATAGAGATGTGATTTTTTGTTGTTGTACATTACAGGGAATCTGAAGCATACCATCGTTTTGTTAAGAGGATTTGCATCCGATCATGCCGGTTCCTGAAAACACTCTGGCTGTGTCGTCGATCGGCTCTCATGCGGTCAATGATTCCGGTAAATCAAGAACCAGCAGCGATTCCGTGGCTGCTGCTAAGACTAACAAGGAAGCCCGGTTTGAACAGGTCAAACCAGCACAAGCGGCCATCGATGGCGATGGCGATGGCAAAGCTGAAATGCTAAATGGGTTTAGCAATGTGGAAAATGGGGGTGATGGTGAGATTTTCGAGAAAAACATGAGTGATTTGGTTGAAATTTTGTCTAAGCTTAACCCTATGGCTGAGGAATTTGTTCCTCCTTCACTTGCCAATCACCACCACTATGATCAAAACCATCATGATAATCACTTTCTGGAAAATGGGTTTGGTTTTGTTACTGACAATTTTGCTGTTAATGCTGATTCTGGCAATGGATACACTAATAGAAGGGTATGTATGTTAGTTTCATTTTGCTGTGGCATTTTGTTTTTGTTTCATATTGGTAGCATTTTTTGTTGATTCTCTGTTCCTTTTTTCATAGAAGAGGAACAACTTTAGCCAAGTGAAGAGAAGGTTGAATAATCGAACTAACCTTGCGCAGCAAGAGGACGTGATTAGGAAGACTGTTTATGTATCCGATATCGATCTACAGGTAACATGCTTTAACAGTTACGGTTTTTGCCTCAGTTTTGCTATAGTGATGTTGTGCTGATCGATTGTGTTTTTGGAATAGGTTACTGAGGAGCTTCTTGCAGGTCTCTTCCTGAGTTGCGGACCGGTATTTCTTGTTTCTTTGTCGTGTTTAGTAATTAATTTCCAGTTTCTCCTACTCAGTGGTGGTGGATTATTCCCTTAAAAGAACTTTCTGTTATTTATAAAGGTTGTTGATTGTCGAATATGCGGTGATCCTAATTCTGTTCTCCGCTTTGCCTTCATCGAATTTTATAAAGAAGGTACCACAAACGGTTTATACATTTGGTAAGCATTGATATCTGCTTTCCTTTTACATTGTTGACCATTCAATGTTCTTGCAGAGGATGCGAAAGCTGCTTTGAATTTGTCTGGAACCATCCTCGGTTATTACCCTCTTAAAGTGATGCCTTCCAAGACCGCGATCGCACCTGTTAACCCGACCTTTCTACCCAGGGTAAAACATATTTTCTGTGAGAACTTTTTTCACGTTTGTTTGTAAGTGTTATAGGAACTGAATCAGAGTCATGTTGATGTGTTTCGTTTTTAATTACATGGCTTCAAATGTTTTACTCTCTTCAGTCTGAGGATGAACGGGAGATGTGTGCAAGGACCATTTACTGTACAAACATAGACAAGAAGGTAGTTTCTCATGTCCGCTATTTTCTGGAATGCTCGTGTGATCAATAACCCGAGCAATAATTCCTGGTTTATTTGTTCAACTGATACAGATTACTCAAGCTGATGTCAAGCTCTTCTTTGAATCACTATGTGGGGAGGTCTGTAGTTTCTCATGCGGTGTGCCTTATAAATGCCGCTCTTCTTATAAGTATTGCATTTAACGATTTCTTACTGAATTTTTTGTTCTATGGTAAGGTTCAACGCTTGAGGCTATTGGGAGACTATCGTCATTCAACTCGCATTGCTTTTGTCGAGTTCACAATGGTGGTTACTGTCTTACTATCTTTATTTACCGACTTTTGCGACATATGTTTTTATGGTATCATGTTGAATTATCCATGTTGTCCTTCTCGTGACGTCAACTGACGTTGTTCTTAAACCTATTTGGGAAACTTCACTATATCAACCAAATCTTTTGGCATCATCCGCCCCCAAATTGTCGTAATTCGAATAAATTCCACAAATATTGCTCGAGGAATGTAACTGCCAAAATAATCGTATATTCTTCCGCGGATATATGCTTTGGCATCTTGCGGTTGCCATTAAATGACAAGATGCAACTCATTTTATGGTGTGTCTCATGTTGTCTGCTTTATTTTTTGATCAGTCAACTTACGATGATCTTTTGTGTTCTATTTTTCATCTCATGCAGGCTGAAAGTGCGATCGCAGCCCTCAACTGCAGTGGTGTGGTTCTGGGATCACTGCCCATAAGGTCGGTTTGCGAAACTTTTCTCGTCGAAATTATACACATATAAATTGGATTGTGAAATTCTATTTCCCCGAAATTTTTAGGAATATTTGCCTTTTGCATGTGCAGGGTAAGCCCATCAAAGACACCTGTTCGTCCCCGTGCTCCTCGCCTTGCAATGCACTAAATCACCCCGTGCTCCTCGCCTTGAAATGCACTAAATCACCCGTTCTCCTCGCCTTGCAATGCACTAGATCATCCATGCTCCTTTCTTTGTTCCCGACTTCAACTGCCATTATATTTACATACAAACAGCAGTACATTTGAGGTACTTTTGGTGATAAATGTTATCTTCTCCGTGCATCGTAGTTACTTTTGCGGGGTTTAATCGTGGTTGGTATCTTTTAGTTAACGTGGTTTTGACAGACATGAATGTTAATTTATGTTTCATGTTACAATGGATTCTCTGAGAGGATGATATCCCTTCACATAGATTGCAAAGGCATATCCAACAACTAGTAACAGTTAAATATACTATCTCTGCTTTTCTTTAATCTTCATGATCTTTTTCTGGTGCCGTCATCGATTCGCTCTTAAGGTATGAGTGTTCGATGGTACGTACTCAATACGAGTATGTTTCATCTTATATGTTTTTCTATGTATCTGGGATGTTTAAGGAGGGTCATGTTTTATACAACATAGTGGTATACTAACTGTAATAGTGATATTCCAAAAGTTGAGCTGCTCGGTTTTAGCCGATGAAACGGGCAACAAGCTGAACTAAACCAATAGGACAAGGGTTCTGCCGTTTAGTCTGCAACCCTTTTCTTCTCTTTGATTAAAGAGTCCGACCAATGGGAGAACTATGCCGGACTTCTACACACAGAGCAAAGCCGCCGTAAAGGCGAGTTTATACGAGAAAATTTTGTATTAATACCGATAATTATGGGGTCTAATGACGTGAAGCTTTCGAGGGAGGACACATGTGTACTTACCTAATGGTGACCCTTCAACAACCTCAATGAAACATCCACATTTCATGTCTATTTAAAGTCATAAAAGAACAATGAAAGTGGGGGGACAGTTGAGAATTGGACTATATGACTTGAAATTCTTACCCTTTGAAAACGAGACATCAGAGATAATAATGCAGAAAACGAAACTGATTATTGTTAATTATTAATTGTTAATGGATGGGGGATAAGATATCTTTGTTAGCTAATCTGTCTTAAGCCGATTTGGTTTTGTCGAATATGAGGCCAAACTACAGGCGGTTTATCCTAATGTTTTGTTCGGTGATCGGTTTGGTTTTTTGTATCTATCATATATATATATATAATTTTTAAGGAAAAATATATTTTTTTAATTTATGGCTTCACCTTGTTTTTTCAAAACATTTGATGATTATAATAAAGAAATTAATGAACAAACAAAAAAGTGGACTGATATTTATCCATGAATTTCCAAATTTCAATGCTGGGACAAATTTAACTACCCCGCACCCTTTAGGCCACTTGGACTCTTTATGAGCCAGACATGTATGGCATAAAAATCCATAATTATCTGTCGAATTTTCGTTTTTTATTTTATTGTTATGTTTGTATAAATTTTTTAAATAATAATCATTCAAAATTTATTACTATATATATCTCACAGTAGAACAAGGCGAGTGATTCTTAATTCATGTATAAATTGTATACAAAATGTATGTTTTATCTTCTAAAATAATCTCTTCATACGTACAGTATTAACTCTAGGGTGACATTGCAAATGCATGCATCCGACAATCATCGGAAGCATAGATCGAGTGGTTTCGGTGATAAAAAATTATTATTATTCTTTAAAGCATCGAGTTCGAATATCAGAAATATTGAGAATGTGAGCGTTCGATATCAGGACAGTAATAACGCGTTCGAGGATTATAGTTTACAAATGAAACAAGAACGAAAGGCATAGATGTCCACAAGGCATGGGAAAGAAGATGAGATACGATAAGTATGAGCATTATTGGTTCATAGAATCCATTAATCAAATGTCTCAATCACTTGAAACCTGCCAAACGTAGCAGTTCCGATCAGGGTTACAAACGCCCCATCAGAATGATGAAATTGCAGTTAAGTCCCATGAAATCATAGACCAACACAATCGTAAAATGTTATTTTGGCCCTCTCGAAACTTTATAATTCAATTTTAGTCCTCAAAGTTAGTCCAATGCATGTCCAACTATATATTTAAGCTCCCCACCCCCACTATAATTCTCTAATACCAAACATATTTATCCCACATAACTTCATTGATGGAGCTTAGAGAAGACCATCCAGCACCAGATGAAGGAACTTCAGAACAGTACTGCCAAGAACATCAAACTCCAAGGAAGAGAAAGAACAGCAGCAGCAGCAACAACAACAGCAGCAAGATGATGATGAAGAACAAGAAGAGGTTTACGGATGAACAAATAAGGTTGCTCGAGTCGATTTTCGAGTCGGAGACGAGGTTAGAACCGAGGAAAAAGTTGCAGGTGGCGAGGGAGTTGGGTCTACAGCCACGGCAGGTGGCCATATGGTTTCAGAACAGGCGAGCGAGGTTGAAGTCTAAACAGATTGAGAAAGATTACAACAAGTTAAGAGACAAGTACGATAATCTGGTGTCCAGGTTCGAGTCCTTGAAGGACGAAAAACAGTCTTTAGTTTCCCAGGTACCTATAATATACCACTAGTGTTCTTCATCACCGATAATAATTACTCATTACAAAAAGATGATGCTTCTCGCAGTTGGAGAAGCTAAGTGAAATGGTGGCCGAAACCCATGATGGAAACAAGGTGGGTCTTGAAGCTGAAGCCGATCAGCCTATTCTCCAACAGGCAGCAATGGAAGAAAACGATGGGTTCTTTGGCTTGGAACAATTTATGAACATGGATGAACTCAGATCATTCCCGGTTTCGCCTGACGATACTCGTTTGCAGTGGTTGAACTTCTGGACTTGAGAAAGCCTTTTGTGCCATTACAGTCGATAAACACCCGAGGGAAATGGCCATTGCATGCCATGATCTTCATGTCACAAGCAAGGTTTGGCCAACTTTTTACTGTTCATATTCCAATAGAATTTGATTTGCATGATGTTAAGAAAGGCTGCAATGGGCTGTTTCTAGTTGTAAACCATAGATTCCTCTTTTTTTTTTTTTCTATTTTCCTTTTTAGTTATGGTATTAATAGATGAATATATGGTTACTTTAAAATAAGCTATGGGATTTCTCCAGAATCCAGTAGTACACCTGATGATACTTTTGAAAAACAGTCAAACTCTATTCTTAATTGGTGAATTAATCCCTATACTTTCACAAGGTCCAGTAGTTTGAAAATAAACGAATGAAATTAAACAAAAATATATATTTAACTTTAAGATGAAAGTCGAAATGATTGGAAAAATCAACCGAACTCATCTCATCTTCATCCCTACTTATCACTCGAACCCAACAAGTGTTGATCGATGTATCGTGTCGTCAGCGATAGTAGTAAGAGAAGAAGACAAGAGAGGGGAGCATTTTCGTATTTCCTAGGTGGGAAAGAGGAAGGAACGTTTGTTGAAAATATGAGGTCATAAAGTAGTTGCTTAGACGACTAAAAGAAACTCCATAAAGAGCAAAAGGTTGAGCACAACACGTTCTTCTCACCTTAACCATCACACACTTATGAATGGATATAAGGCAGACATGGACACCCTAATAGAAAGTGTACACTTGTTTTTTTCACCCTAAAAAGGATTTCCCAAATTACTTGTTGGCTACGAGTTCAAGTCTCGGTGGGAAGGAAAATCAATGACCTGCAGTTATTGAGAATAATTGCGCTAACTCCTAAATCCTTACTTTACGATATGATTAAAAAACTTTTGCTTGGAGAGTCATATCAAGACAGTTTGGCCGAGTGGTCTAAGGCCCCAGATTTAGGCTCTGGTCGAAAGGGCGTGGGTTTAGGTTTACCAAAACCCAACTTGTTGTCATCCCGATGTCATATCCTAATTTAAAATAGGGTAAAACACATGAATGGTCCCCGATTATATGGTATTACTTTATTAAGTCATTTAATTATTAAAAGTTACAAAATGATTTGTCGAATATAGAGTGTTGTTTTGTTGAATCCCTCGATTATCTAAAGTTACAAAATGATCACCAGATTATTCATTGTATTCCAAACTCGTCATTTTTCCGTTAAAAAATTGACGATATTCTGAGTTAACTTGCTGACTGCGATATGATAAAATTTGATCCTAGACTTTCAAACGATTATCACATCTCAGTCATCATGTTAACGTCCAACTCTGAATACCGTCAATTTCATAACGAAAAAATACGAGTTTGAAACATAATGAATAGTCGGATGACCATTTTATAACTTTTGATAGTCGAGGGACTCGACAAAACAACACTCTATAGTCGGAGGATCATTTTGTAACTTTTAATAGTCAAATGACCTTAATAAAATAATAACCTATAGTCAAGGACCATTTTTGTATATACCCTTAAAATAATTAAACTAAAACAAGCATAAAATTCATATTGTATTTAAAACATTTGTAAAATTGTTCGTCCAGCTCAGTTGGTAGAGCGTAAGGCTCTTAATCTTGTGGTCGTGAGATCGAGTCCCACAGTGGTCAATTCATAATTCTGACTGCCGGAGGTCTCCCACGGAAACTGCACTCAAGCTGGCGTTGGGAGCAGCCTACTATCCTACCTCTCCTTACCCCATTACATATGAGAATAGGGTCAGCTAATTTTTTCTCATATCCTATATGATAACCTATATCTTCATGTCGTGTTTGTTTAATAAATGGAGCCGTTGTTGGTTTACATTCTATATGATAATCTATATCTTCATGTACAGTTTTGGTTTACATTGGATGACAATCCATGCGTCCGAACTAGAGTTTTAAATTGCGGTCGAGGTTTCGATTATTTTGGATTTATCGTGATTGCGGCCGTCGCGGGCGCTATTGTGGCCGTCGCGGGTAACTCGGACAGTGACGAAATCGCTATATTACGGCCGAAATCGCGGTCGCAGGCCATTTTTTAAAACCCTGGTCCGAACCTTAAGTGGTGATCATATTTTATGCTTGCATGAATTAATAAAAGAATAGAATTCATTTTTATTTAAATTTTAGTTTCGTGTTTATTATTAAACGGAGCCTTTGCCGGTATTATCGGTGCTTTTTCTGAATGTACCATTCGGAGAACCGGAAAGGCACCGGGATCATTTTAAGCAAAGCACGGCAGACGACGTTAAAATACGCCTTCTCCGTTTCGAAAACGAAGAACTCGTATTAGAGGATAAACAAAAGATCACACACACGAGAGGAGCTAAACGAAATCGAAGCTAACTTTAAGATAAGATGTCTGTTATTAGAACAATAGGATCCCTTCACCCAGATATGCAATGGTCTTCTTCTTTGGCCTCAACTGTCAATTAGTCACACAACGAAAAAGCACAAATGCAGATGAAGTTTATAGGATACAATCGAAGACCTTGGATACTTCAACAACCAGCAAGATGCAGGAATATCGACAGAGGGAGGATCTAAATCTAACTAAATGCATATGTTTCAAACATAGGTATGTCAGTCGCGAGTAATTTAGAAAAAACCCAACTCGAGACACCATAACATGATAGTGCTTCCAAGAACAACTAATTTCAAATGATGTTCGTGATCCAAGATTTACTAAACAAGCAACCATAGAGACAATAAGAATGCGCCGACATACTTGCGGCAGATCATCTTGTCCTGGTTGTACTTCCGAGCCAATGCCATCAAAGAAGGCTCGATAATGCCACGGCGGAGTCTCAGAGCCAGATGAAGGGTTGATTCTGCACAATTCAAAACAAACAATTAAATCAAACTAATATAAACGTCCGATAGTCGATAGAAAACCAAACCGGTCCAAGCTTCTCAATTCAATAATGTTGATGAAGCAATACTTGAATGATTTAATTTGATAAAATAATATGCCTCCCAGATAAAGCATAAAAAACTAATCCAGGTCAACTTTAAAACACAAACAATAAGGAACTTGAACTTCTCTACAGCATAAGCCTAAGTATCTTCTTAACGCCTGGAGTCCCAACAGTCACAGAAAAGATGATTCTTACTTTTCACCCCTCACAACAAAGCCTACAATCCTCATCTGAGATCATCCCCATGGATATGAGCTTATCTTTAGTAATCATCTCAGCCAAGTAATGGTAGACATTTTTAAGAACGTAAAAGAAGTCATATATTGATGAATTAGAATATATTACATAAATATGCCTCAAATCTTATTCATGTATTTTGATTGATAAATCGAAAGCACTGATCGCCCTTTTTGCTTTTCAATGCTTTATAAAGTGATTGACGCCCACAGTTTTGGGACAAAATCATGATGAATGTCCAAAATCAATATGATTTAGACTATAATTTGACCAGTTTCACGTCGAAAAAAGAAAGGAGGAAGAAAAGAACAGAGGAAGGTTTCAACTTTCCGCAACCAGCTTCATCAATGCTTATCCACAGTATCTGCTAACTTGAATTCTACGCCAACATTTTTTCAATCCCAGCTATAGACTATTTTTTTTATGGTTTGCAGGTTATTTTAAACATTTTATATTTAATTATCTTATTAAATAATTTTCGTATATTTCTATTTTTCATATATTTATTTATTTGAGTAAACTATACCGTTGTTTACTTAATTTTATTCTCTCTCATATTTTTGTTTTATTTTTGTTTATCGTATTTTTAATTTTTTTAATTTGTTCAGTAAACTTTATAAATTGAATCATTTTACTCACTCATCTGTTATCTCTCTAACGATGTGATGACATATCCTTTATTATTATTATTTAATATAAAAAACTGAAAATATAAAGGATCAATTATATAATTTCTCAGTGAACTTTATTATCTATTTTATTTTGCTCACCCAATTATAAAATAAAAACAAAAGGTGACTAGATGTAATCGTTGGTCATCGCCGACCGCCTTAGTTGGTGGTCGTTCAGTCTCAAATTTCAAGAGTTACTTCGCCTCTACACCTTAAGTCAGAATTAGATCTTTATTTTGCCGAAACTTGTTCTGAAATCCTAGATTTGAGTATTGAAAGTGAGAAAGCCGAAACGTTTAAGTTGATATTTATGGATTTTGGGTCATTTTTCAATTAAACAACCACTATATTCGGACTCAATGGGTCGAGAAGAGTAGAGCCCATGAATTTTGAGATCGAACTACCACTATCAACGAAGGTAGCGGTAAAAGGAATAAAAATGATATGGTGGTCGACGGCAACAATCGATCACCTTGTTTATAAAGTAGAGAGAAAATGGGAGGAAATAAGAGGATTTCAAATGACGTCGTTTTGATGTATATTTGAGTTTTTTCAAAATGATATCGTTTTGATGCTTATGTCATATCATAACACGTTAAAAAATTAACAACAGAACGAATAAAATGATTCAATATATAAAGTTCAATTAACAAATTAAAAAATTATAAAATGAGTAAAATAAGATAGAGTAAATTGGTATGGTGTAATTTACATTTTATATTTTACATTTGCAAAATTAACCTCAGATTTATGTTAGTACTTAAATTTCAAAATTCGTGTAGGTTTCAATATGCAATCTTTGCATCATTTACTTTGAAAACTCCCTCTCTGTCTAAAAAGCTATGGAGAGCAGAGTCTAGAGAGAAAGAGAGAGACTAAAGCAAAAGACTTCTTAAAGCAGTTGGCTTTTTGAAGGGGGAATTGATTGATAAGCAAAAGATAAGGAAGGAGAGCAGCTTGGTCATCTCTCTGTTTGGGCTTCATCGGCCTCATGGTACCTTCAGGCAACGCCAGTCATTTCGGAATCCACCACTTCGGCGGCATTGGAGACGGCGGATTCTGGTCTGCTATGGCGTCGCCGACCTCCGAAGCTGCCGTTGTCTTCACCGCCCTTACTGGTAACCATCTCTTTTGTCCCGATTTCTACACCAGCAGCACTAGGTGAAAAAAATTGATCGATCGTTTCAATGCTAACGGTAAAAAAGAATCTCAGAAAACCCTAGTAACGACACGTAGAGAGTGTAGTTGATTTAAAAGGAAAAAAGAAAACCACAGATTTTAATCAATGAAAGCTCTTAGACGAAGGCAGACTGCTTCGTCTTCATCTTCAAGCTCGCCTTCGTCGTCATCGTCATCGCCATGGATTCATTTGCGTTCGGTTCTTTTCG